AAATGTGAAACCTCTTCTTTTAAAGGGGACCTAATATGCAAAATTCACTTTTACATGGTGTTTGAACATAAATGTATGTTGGCAGTGTGTGTACACAACCACCCTATAATGATAAAAAATCTACCCAGTGCTTGTTTTAAAATCCCCATAAATCATAAGCACCGTCTCAGAACAAGCTGCTCGCAGATTCTGGGCGAAGTGATGTCACTTTGCACAGGCCCCTCCCACGACTGTTGATGGACACTGCCGTATTAGCATAGACCCGCCCTGAGTGAGTGTACACAGTCCGCCATAGTTTCAACGCCGGAGCAGCTGTAGACAAGAATGTCTCCTAAGCGATTGAGGTGTTTTGTTGTTGGATGTAAGAGTGAACATAGCAGTCGTCCCCGAAATCTGAGCCATTGAAGATGCAGTGGATTACTTTTGAATTTTGAAGGGAATGCACCCCCCAATCTACCTAAATGCGTTTATGTTTGCGCGATTCATTTTACATCAGACTGCTTTATGAACGAGGGTCAGTACAAAGCAGGTTTTGCTCCAAAGTTGTTACTCGAGGATGGAACTGTTCGTGATCCAGCTTACAGTCTCCGGAGTGAACTTGGTCAGGCAGTAATGAAAGGGAGAATGCTCACTTTATATCCATAAAACAACTCTGATGAACTGTAATAAAGTTTACCAGTTTGTTAAGCACCCCCTGAAAAGGTCTGTATATACTGGTTTACTCTTAGTTGTAATGAGTGTTTATGTGTAATTCGCTGTGTATGTTGATGATAATGAAAGGGAGAGAGAGAGTTTATTAATAAGACTTCAATGCGCACTTATTATACCTACTGTTTATTCAGCTCTTACGGTGATTTTCTGGAGTAAAATGGACGATTAATCTTTTGTGTGAAGTACAATAAACTTCATCAGTAAATTGTTGGCCATCATTCCGACGGGGTCGGCTACAGCAGGCTTGTAGTAATAGTGGATAAAAGCAAGATGACAAATAAGTTATAACTGTAATTAAACAAACTATACCAGTTCCATCTCCATACAGCATATAGGCCATGAGACGGGACCCCTAAATTTGGGCTACCGGTACCATTTTGAGGGATTACATTTATTTTTGATTTTCATGAAGGTACACATCTCTAGTGTTGGAAAATGTGTGATAGCATCCGATCCATGGTAGCTTTCATTAGAAATCAACACTTATATCATCCTACCTCAAGGTAAGGTGTTCAGTGACTACAAGAGAGAAAAATGTATCCTTTTATAATTTAATTTTTTTTATTATAAAATTTAAAATTTATTTAAAGATAAATTCATTTATCCTTTTTCTTGACATATGTTTGAAAATCGTCCTCCGTAACCAAAAACTACCTTGAATCTAATGCTATCACACATTTTTCAAATACAGGGTCATATACCTACACAAAAATCACCATGCGGTTTAATCCCTCAAAATGGTACCAATCAACCCTCTGTCTCACGGCCTAATATTCTTTGGCTCTGCAGGCATTATTGTCCTACTCAGGGTCAAACCGAACACCGCTACTGACAGTTTCTGTTCTGACATTTTCATTTCGTGAGATTGTCCTGACACTAGAGCGCAAGCTCTTGAAGCTCCGCCCTCTTCTTGAAAAGGGGGCTGAAGGCAGCAGCTCATTTGCATTTAAAGGGATACACACAATGACGTAATGTTTTTGCTCACCCCCCAAAATTTAAACATGCTGTAAAAAATTATCTGTGGGGTATTTTGCGCTAAAACATAATAGTATACTGTATATGCCAACATGAAAACAAACCAGGTTCCGAATCAACTGGACAAAGGTATGAAAACACTATTATTATTCTATTATTGGGCGAACTATCCCTTTAAGTTACACCTTTAAAAAAAGAAATTAAAGAAAGCATGGAAAATCAGCCCAGGCAACAGTGGAAACAATTTCGGAGAATTTCACATGCAGATGTCATACATAACTGCCTCAAATTTATGAAGACACAGATGAGCAGTGACAGAAAAATACACATCTGTGCATCAAAGTCAGCCCACTCCCACATCAAGACAACAAAAACTTGTCATTCAGAGTTCTACAGTACCGGCTTTCCTCCCTGCGGAGCAGTGCAATTACTTTTGCCCAGAAGTTGACGGTCTCCCTCTGCCCTCTTTTTAGTTGGAGAAAACTTGTTATGGATGACTAAGAGGAGCAACGATATGTGCTGTGAAACCTGGACAGTTGAATTGGACTGTGAAGCCTGAACAGAAATCAGACAAAGGGAGTGATTTAGACAGGGACCATGTGAAGTTCACACAGCCTTTTGAGCCATATAATCTGATGCAATACACTAAAGCAAACACAGTAAGCAATTTCCAGAGGACGTTTTGAGAAGGATGACATCCATTTTACCTTTTCACCAAGAAGCAAGGGCAGGCCAGAGAAAGGGCTCGCTTTAGACCGCTGCAGGCCATCAAAGCAATAGCATTTTCCTGCCTAGTTTCCAGAGATGATGATTGTACACAGTAATATTGCTTACAGTGTACTCTCCTCTTCCATTAAAAATGATGTCAAACATCAAGGGGCATGTGTACTGATGGTGCAGTGCTGGCAAAACAGTTGACGAAAAGCATAAAAGTGAAAAACGTCCTACTAATAATAAAAACCAGGCCTTACATGTATCAAAACTTTTTTTCTTTTAAATATCTGTCTTTAATGAGTGAATATATTACATTCAGTGAAAATCAGAACTTTATAATGAAAACCACCAGCGAAATAAAAGACAGATAAAGGTTTTTTCAAATCTTATGGTTAAAATCTCTTAAAAGTGCCATTTTTATGCGAACCCTGTACATATGTAAGAGATGATTTCGGCATATCATCAGAATCCGTAACAAAGACAATTTTATACGCATCGATACAGAGTCCAGACAGACAAATAAAAGCCTAAGGTGATAGTCGTTTCACAATATCACATAATAAATAAGGCCAAATAAATATCTATTCCATGTTAAAGGATTCAGTTCAGAAATGTGATGGCACATATAGTCATGTTAATGATCGAGTCACTCGAGATCCATGAGTTCCCTCTCTTGCACCGACTCTACCCATGATCTCGCATATTCAAGTCCGTTTAAACGTCCGACCTTCAAGCATAATGGCTCAAACGTGTGGTTTAAAGTCATGTGTCAAAGACACAAGGGAGGCTCAGGAAGGAACAAGGACAATTCCTGCCTCTGGGAACACGCATTTAACATTCACCAGTCACAAACGGGCACCCACACAGAATTTAAACGGTATTGCTGACCGCAGTTCTCGAGGACTGAATGGTCTTAAATTGCCGGTCTAACAGCAATCTGCTCTCCTAAGGTCACTCAAATACAGGGTCCAAAATTAACCCAAGGATGAATGAATTAAGCAGATTTACTGGCAATAAACCAATCTTATTTACCTTTTTTGCATTTTTAAAGTATATAACGTATATATATATATATATATATATATATATATATATATATGTGTGTGTGTGTGTGTGTTATACTTGTTAAACAAGTTAAACACTTGTTTACTGAATGTTAATTCTGGACCCTGAACACAAACACGTTTCAGTTTTTAGAGTGCATTTTTCAGTATCGGAGCATGTAATGGTGAGACCACATTAAAGCCTTTCTCTCCCTGAGCCTGATCACATAGAGAGCTGGAAGTAGGTCTGGGAGGAAGGAGGAGATAGAGAGTGATGATGTTCCCAACAGATTGCTGAAATTGGAGCAGTGGACCTCAGGGAGCAGACCTGCTGGATGGATGGGACTGCGTTTCTTCAGGGTTTCCTTCTCCTCCATGCGTCCTTGCTTGAGCTCCTGATCCGCAAAGCCGGGCCAACACTGTCCCAATGTTACTTCAACGTTGTCCCAACGCTGCCAAAATGAGGCCATTCCTCATTTCAACCACCTCTCCTAAGACTGTGCTCCGTATGAGGCTGTCTATGGCAGTTTTATTGATTTTTTTATTGAAGTTATCGACATTTAATTAAATTTATCTGCCATCTATTTTTAAAAGAAAATTCAAAGTCTCACCTATGTCAAATGTAATAATGTAGTTAATTTCTCTGGAAGGAGTTCTCTATTTCTTTTTGACAAATGAAGGGCATTTCTTTCTTAAAGTCCAGCTGTGTTTACGACTCAGGGCTCTTGCTGAATTTTTCCACTAAGGCTGTCAAATCTATTTTATCTTAGATTCAGTGCAGAAAACTTTTCTGGTCTTTTTTTGCAGCAAAAGGATAGTAGAAAAAAAGAGAAAGATTAGCTTGCAATTAGAAGAGGCTAATGAGTGTTAAACTCCCTAAAAGGGGTCTGACGCGGGTAGTTCTCAACCGGCAGCAAGTGTTTCAATGCCCTCTCTTCGACTGAGGATTGATTTGGGCAATATACGCATGGGCCTTCAAGTTCAGTGTCATGTTTGCTGGTGCAAAACAACGTGCTGGGCTATTTGTGTGACTTATTATTATAAACATCACTACTAATTGGGCGTAATCAAAAAATCCAGTCTATTATCGTAAGATTAAGAGTAAAAATGGTTTTGAAAACTTAATGTTTAATAAGGAATCTCAGGGTCCAAAATTAACTTTTTGGTGGGTGAATTGAGAAAAAAATATTTTGCACCGTCATGAAGCTGTATTATCTTTCACAAAAGCATGATTTTGTTCGGCATATTTTGATTATGTTGGTTTAATATAAGTAACATTGAGAAACAAACCACATGTACCGATAAAAAGTTTGGGGTCATTAAGGTTATTTATATAAATGGGTACAAGTGGTTTATGTTTCTCAATGTTACTCATATTAAACCATATATATATAAACTTTCACTCAGCAAGGATGCATTAAATTGATCAAAAATGATGGTACAGACAGGTATAATGTTACTAAATATTTTGGTTTCCATTTAAACGAACTGTTCTTTTGAAATTTTTATTAAACAAAGAATCCTGAAAAAATGTATCATGTTTCAATATTAAGCTTAGCAGCACAACATTGATAATAATAAGAAATGTTACTTGAGCAACAAATCAGCAATTTATAATGATTTCTGAAGGATCATGTGATCCTGAACACTGGCTGCTGATAATTCAGCTTTGCGATCAATAAATTACATTTAAAAAAAGAAAAGAGTTATTTTGAATTATAATAATATTTCACAATATTACTGTTTCCCATTTTTAATCAAATACATGCAGCCTTGGTGAGCATTCAAGACTTTTCAAACTTAAAGAAATCTTTCCAACCCAATAGACCGTTCAATAGACATTTCGTATGTCTGTCATTTAAATTGATCATTTAAAGCAGCGAAAGGTCAGATTACCATTCTTACAATTCAACTAAAACATGTAATGTTATAGTTACCAATAGAGTTTCCGGCCAACTGGTTAAATTAACCAATTTGTACTTGAATCTGTGGCTTGGCGAGTGTTAATGTTGGACCATGAATTTCTTTCAAAGATATAAGGGAATGCAAAAACGTTGACATCCTCTCTAGCATATTAGCAGAACTGTACAATGTGATTGTGTTATGAGTAAAACTCACATTAGTGGACCGTCAATCTAAAGTACTTATCGGAGCAGCATTTCTTCAGAAGGTTTAAGTAGTGCAGACAATGGATTGGTTTTGACACTTGATAAAGATGACGAGTTTAACTCCACAAAGGATAATACGAGTCTCGGTGTGCGGTCCAAGTTCGTTTGAGGTTTTAGAGGAAAAATAGCCTAGAAGGTAACTGAGTGCATGTGGGTCTGAAGGTACTCGTTGTCACTGAGGAACTGCATCAAGAGTTCATATCCATCTGAGGCTCGTGTCACTGTGCGTGTGTGTGTTTTTAACCTTCCTGCTGAGCAAGAGCCTGCAGATCAGCTGTATGGATAGAGTGCTGTAAGAAGACGTTCTTTCGGCTGTACATGTGTAAAGACAGAGGGCCACGGGGCGGCTGACCCAGACGGCCGGTAAAGGAGGACTGAAGCCTGGGAATAGGCCCCCGCTCGCTCCGCAGCCCCCGCTCGCTGTCCGAGGACAGGCTGCGTGAGGGACTGGCCTTGCTGGGGAGGCTCACGCTGCTGCCGGCCACCGCCCGAGGGATCTGAGACGGTCCCAGGTGCTCCGTCTTCCGTAGTCCAGGTACCTCAGACAAGGACTGCCCACCTTCAGCTCTTCGTACCAGCTCCCGCACGCCTCCTCCCCCGTTGCTGCAAGGCCTCTCTTCAATTGGTCGACTGAGCTGGTCTGCAGCGAGCAATCGCGACACCCTTCTTGTGAGGCTGCTGTTGCTGCTGCTGCTGGGAATGTTGATGTTTTGGCCTGTGGGTCGACTTGGATGAATTGCCTGTTGAAACAAAAGATGGGAAAGTGAGAGAAAATTAAGCCACTCAATTTGCTGACATTTTGACAAAGCTTCCTTGGCGGTCTAGAACCTTTTCTAATTGTTTCCAGACCAACTGGAACTCTGCCTTTTTTAGGAAGAGGAGGCCAAAGACAAACATTGTGGGGAGGTGGCTCGAGAAAAAGCCTGCGCTGAGGAGTTTGAGCCACCTGTTCATTTCGCACACAACACTGCTTCTTCCTTACATAACTGGCCCTCTATTACTCACAATGCTGAATGAGTACAAGGGAATTATTGCGCATGAAAAAGAAATTAGCTGCAAACTCAAGAGTGATTGTTTGATTCACGCTGTAACTCAACGTGTAACTCAGACTGAGCTGGCAGCCAGAAAGTAATACTTGATGCTAATCGGCATTTCACAAAGTGAGAAAACCTAATTAAGTGTGATGTGGCTAATGTGGGAACTTCAGCTGTGACGTGAAATTGAATTTAAAATAGAGTCTGTAATTGAATTCATACATTATGGGGCAGTTGAAAGGCGTTGAGAGACTTCCATGCCAAAGCAGGTGAGAAAGGGGACATGTGTCCCACGTGTCCTAATCTTATTTTATCATTTACGGTGTAAAATGTCTTTGTTTACCTTCATACTACATTTACACTTCCAAGTAATGCCAGGACGCAACATTGTTTCCTTAAAACAAGCTCACAAACAATTCTGCAGTTCCAGTTCACGAACAGCACAACCAAATCCAACGTCTGATTTAAACTGGTTTTTAAAGTAACAAGCTTTGCATTCTTTCATTTGTAATGTTAAGATAATGGGATTATAATAGGACCTTTTTCTTAATGTTAACTGGTAAGTATTCTTTCAGTTATAAATCATATTGTCTGTCTGAATAATTTGTCTAAAGCAGTTTTATTCCATTTAATCTGTAATGTTTACTATTATTATTACTGAACATTTTTCAAATAAATAAATACATAAATATTGTGCCTTTTTATTTTTGGTCTTCGCCTTACTGTTATAATTTGTATTTTTTACTTTATATTAAATAAATAAATAAAAATGTTATTGCCATCATCTTTTCTTATATTGTTCCTTTCGATATTTGTTTTTTATTTTCTGTTATGGAACAGCTTGTACTATTTACAAATAATTGACTATTTTGTACAGTTTTTGTTTATACTTTCAGCCAATTTTCCCTTAAAATATTCTGAACCACTTATTTGTACCCACAAAAAAACACACCGCTTCATCTGTCATTGGGCAAGTTTACAGACACCATGATAAGAATTTTCAATGTCTGTGTCCTCTCAAGTACGCGCTGCAGCATTCACAGTACAAATTCAGGCCCTAGCAGACATAAATGCATCAGATGGTGACAGAGAGAGAGAAGTTTGGTACCTGCACTGGAAAAAGGCCAGAAATGCGCACACACACATACACAACTACAGAGTCATCTGGAGGAAAAACAGCAACCGGAGTAAATCAGACTGATTTAACGGTCGTAATCCATTTGGGTCTTTATTAGCCTGTGAAGAAGCTGGTCCTGTGCTAATGGCACGCTTCTGTTAAAAGCCCTCCGGCTGATTATATGCAGTAGGCTGGAAGTAGCAGGATTCAGCCTGCTCATTTTCCACACTTCAGCACACCTACATACACATACACGCTCACGCACACGTCCGCAACAAGCAACTGTTGCAAAGAGCCACGCAGTCTAAGCCGCAGGCAACGGACAGTAATCCTTGTGTATTATGTATAGTACTGGACTGATAACTGAGCGCAGAGTACAGATATATAGTTCTGTATTACATAAAAAAATCCACTCAAGCAAGCACGGCTCACTCTCATATTCTCCAAAAAAAAAGGTATGTTTGGGAAGAGAAAACAATTTCACGGCACTTCTCGTCAGTCTCGACAGACAAGAATGTATTTCTTTGTTGTTTTGTTTATTTCTCGGAATCATGTCAAATAAATAGACAATATGAATCTCAGAGGTTTTCCTCATATAAACATGATAAAAAAGGAAAACTGCAGTTTCAACTCTGAATTTGTGTGGTGGGATCGTATTTAGAGGAGTATGCTCGTCTATTCATCTTTCAGGAGAAAACTTGCGTTAAATACACCGAGACGCACCTTTGTAATCGCTCTCAATCAGACAACAATGCGATGGTAAACAATTAAGCGCATTTTGGATCACAGCATGCTGCTCTCTTTTGTCACAGTCTTCCAGGCTCTATATTCAGCCAATGAGGGGCACAGGCGTATGTTGTCTGCTTGCACATCCTGAAACTCCATCCGTCTGAGCCCAAGTTAAGATGATAAAGAGTGGCTTTCAGAGAGAGAAAGTGAGATAGGATGAAGTGCCACATTCTGAGGGTGCTTAAAGACAAATGGCTGTCCTCCTCGCCAGCGGCTGATTACAAACCGCCCCTGAATGCTTTTAATGAGCTCATGGGCTACCACGACTGCGACTCTTCCTCAGCACCTCACGCCATGCTTTGACACATGAGCTCTGAACGGATGTGCAAGAATATGTATTTTCATTATTGAAAACAAATCTATTATTAAAGTCAATGGAGCTGTCTACATGATCTAGTTGTGATTTGGTGTGCTCTATTGTAGTAAAGAGTATAAATGTAGTAAAATAAAATAAAATAAAATAGTAGTAGTATTAGTGTTACTAAATTGGCTGTATGTTTCCAGGGTAAATTAATCCGTAAATAAGATTGTCTATTGCTATCAGAATCGTTAAAAAGAAGACCACAACGTTGTACAGGACACAGAGTCCAAAAAATCCATCTGCATATGTACGCTGCTGTTCAAAAGTTTGGAGTCAGTAAGATTTTAACAATGTTTTTGAAAGTCTCTTATGCTCACCAGGAATGACTTAATCAAAAATACAGTAAAAAAAATAGTAATATTGTGGAAAAAGTATTACAATTTAAAATAACTTTTATATTTTAAGCCATTTCTAGAGTCTTCAGTGTCACATGATTCTTCAGAAATGACTTTATTATGCTGATTTGGTGCTCAAGAGACTCGTCTTCTTCAATCATTTCAATAAAAGTAAAAGTAACTTGAAATCAAAATATTTTGTAACATTGTAAATGTCTTTACAATCTTTGATCAATTATATGCATCAGTGGTGAATATTAAAAAAAAAATCTTTAAAACAAAAATTCTCCTGATCCAAACGTTTGAATGGTAGAGTATATGGATTACTAGCTAAATATAAATTAAAAATAAAATAAAATATCAGCCATGAATGAATATGGTCACAATATACTGTGTATCATCTCATCACTCATCTCTTTCCTTCCTTCCACACATTTCCTCTCTCACTAAGTCTGCCTTCTTTCACCTTTGTAATATCGCACGCTTGCGTCCATTTCTGAACACCAGCGATGCTGAAACCTTGGTTCATGCTTTCATCACATCACGGCTTGATTACTGCAATTCTCTTTTCTATGGCTTACCCAACTCATCTATAAATAAAATCCAATACATTCAGAACTCCGCAGCTAGTGTCCTTACATACACAAAGAAATCTTCCCACATTACTCCGATTTTACGCAGACTTCATTGGCTACCAGTACGTTTTCGTATTAACTACAAGATACTCCTTATCACATTCAAAGCACTCCATGGTCTTGCCCCCACCTATATTTCTGATCTCATCCATACCTACTCCCCAGTTCGCACACTTAGATCCTCCGATACCGGTCTTTTAACGATCCCACGGCACAAACTATCATCATTTGGTGGAAGGGCTTTTTGTACTGCTGCCCCAACTCTCTGGAATTCTATTCCCCAACACATCCGCGACCTTTCATCATTACACGATTTCAAAACTCACCTAAAAACGTATCTTTTTGCTACTTGTTTCCCTTGATTTCTATGTATATGTACCACTATCTCAATTTATTTTTTGTTCTATGTCATGTTTCTGTCAGGTTTATTTGTACTTTATTTTAAAGCGACCTTGAGTACTCTGAAAGGCGCTATATAAAATAAACATATTATTATTTATTATTATTATCTCCATTGAAAACAGAATTTTGGATCTAAAAATGGCATGAACTGACAGATATTCGGCAAAAACTCAGGCTAAGCAACCTTGTATTGAACAAAACTATCAGAATTCATAAAAAAAAAAAAAGAATTACCTATGACACAAATATTGTAAACAGCAAATGATCTGACATTATAGCTGCCCTGAAAGTTCTTGTTCAAGTTGATAGATTTGTTACATAAGCGTTTTTGACAGGCCTTTTGACAGCACATTAAAGCATAAGACACTCTCAGCATGATACAAATCTCTTCTGAGAAATTGCAACTCCTTGCTTATCCTCTTGCCAAAAACCAATGAAAAAAAAAAAAAAATCTAGATAACCTAGTTGAACTTCGTTCAGCGGGCGATTAAGAGAGCATCCTGACCCATCCATTGAGCACTGCTCCTCTGCAATGGGATTAAGAGAAAGAAATATCAGCTACAAAAAGAGATCACAGATTTATGTGCGCTGAAATGGTTATTGATTGAAAAAGATTGATCAATATTTGAGGGTAAAAAAAAAGAAGAAAAAAAAGAGGCTCCCAAAAAATATAAAAACAAAATGGATGGTGGAACAGAAGAAAAAAGAAACCAAGACAGTGAAGATGTGAGAGACAGAAGAGGAGTTGAAAGACAATGTAAAAGCAGGCGTGCGGGGTGGGGCGCTCCGTTCAGCGAGTTTCGTGTGAGCCTTGTTCCTAGATGATGAGGCATGATGGAGGCTGGATTTGATGTGTGGAGTAACTGAGCACACTTCAAAGACTTTCCCCCCTATTGAGCCCCTCCAACAGCTGTCAGCTTTAGGGAAGATAAGATTCTTTACAGTCCTTGTCTTGTTCTCTCTGACAGCACAGGACCTGGATAAACAATAACGGGAAATATATATCAAGAAGCGGAGGGGAAAAAAATCCAAGTGAGAGCGAAAAGATAAAGGGAGGAAAGAGACCA